AAGATGTCTATGTTACTGCCAAGTCACAGAGCCGGCCAGATCCCTTCTGGATGTACCACTTAAGGATTTTGTTTTCCCGATAGGAAAGTTAAAACTGTGTATACAGTATCTGTATTGTATCCCTAAACAAAATACACTGGTAGACCTTACGTAAGGGTTTTAGTATCGCCTGTCTTTCTTCGTTATACTAACCAGACATAGAATTAGATTTTCAATCTATCTTACTTTACTATCTATTAAAATGTGTTTGCATAGTGTTAGCAGAAAATATTTACTAGTTAACAGGGGCTTAAAGTGAACCTGTACTTTGCCCATGCTAAGCAAAATAACAGGGTAGCTGCGTGGGAGGTATGGTAGGCAGGCTGTACTTTTCTTTCCCATGTTCCTCTGTCACTCCAATTCATCGACAGTCCATTTAAAAATTCCTACAAAAGTTTGAATTTTTGAAGGTCTGGAAGAATAGGGAATAGAGTTGAGTAAACCTTGCAATTTCAGTCCCATGGAACATATGATAAATCTTTGTTGGAGGGTATTTGCAATTAGCATTTTGGGTCTTATACTAGCTCAATCAGGGCATTTCAGAACATGCAGGAGGTCCTCCACACAACAGTATGAGTATTCACAATCCTGCAGAAGATTAAAGAACACGATTGTCCACCCTTTGGGATGATAGTACTAATAAGGAAGAGCTATACAGTTATACATCTTTATTATTTAATCACCTACAGTACATAATCATAAATGCATTCTTCTATAGGCATATGATGTCATGGGTATAGTCCAGTGGACCATGAGCTTACCAGATGTGAGCCTTACTGTGCCCTCTAAAATTGTAGAACTGAACTGTAAAGGGGTCCTTTTAACCCAATTACCAGTTCACTAGAACTGAAACAATTTGCTAGGTGGGGCAAAAAGGCACTTCATAGCAAACCAGGGTTTTTCAATCCACTCAGTGCCACTCCAGGAGGAGTGAGCACATCAGATTCTGGCCAGTACAAGGACAGTTACAAGGTTCTCTTTCAAGTAACCCCCTCCCATTCAGATAAAGCTGGAAGAGTTAAGAGCGGCCAAAATAAATTTGTCAAATTGTAGATCAGCATCAACTTCTAACACCCAGGTATAGGCTCAAGGTGGTTGATGCATAATTAATACAACTAAAATACAGCAAGAAAGTGTAGGTAGACAATGGTGGGGTTCACACAAAAATGGATTATGATTATTGCCATCTATATGTGAGGGGGGGACTTTGGGAAACATCCCTTGAGACATATAAGGGGTCAACTGAGGTTGGCATCTTTGGAACAGGAACCATTTATTTTTTAACACTGGCTGGCTCTTTTTCTACAATATACTTGCAGTCTCCTGAAGAAGTGAATGGTGTTTGTGAAACGTAGAGTTGCTACACTTCTATTGAAGAAATATACAATATATGTGATGTGGAAATGTTATGAGTATGTTCTGAGTGGAATATGTGTAGGACATAATTATTGTGACAAACATAAAATTTATATTTTATATGGATAACATTTTAGTACTGCATTAAATAAATCATGGATTTTGTGGGACTAAATTTGTACTCCTTCAAAGTCCCAATTACCCTTTTGTTATATATATTCAAATATAAGGGATGGTGGTACAACCCCATAAACCTTTTGCCAACAGCAAAGTTCAAATCCAATACTTCTATCTTGCGTCTTCATTTTCCAGCTTTCACATCCACAGAGAGTGACAGAAAAAATACCATAGCTGGGACTATTCTGACCTTTGTACTTTTAGATACATCAGTACCTCTTCCTTTTGAAGATCTTTTGTAGGTCCTTCATCCTTTCCTTTCCATGTGCCAATCTGCCTTATATTTCTTGATTGTTGAATAATTTGTTTTTTGTAACTAAACCAAGGAGGCAGAAACTATGTACAGTAAGTCCTCTACTTACGAACATTTGAGTTGCGAACTTTCAAAGATGCGAACAACCTCCAAGTTGTGAACTTTCAAAGATGCAAACATGCATTCACATGCCAAATCACGAAAAAGTAGATCACGTGTCTGCCGGACATTGTCAGCTGTGTGCACCCTCTGCTACAAACGGTTGTGCTGTGTACTTTACTGTATAGTACAATAGTGTACAGTAGAACAGTGTTGATTTCGGGCCTAGGATGTCTGGAAGCAAGCATGAAAGCAGCGGTTTTGTCTGGTCACTTCATGCAAGCCCCTGTATGTAAGCTGTTGTGCTGTACTACTGTACCTTTCAAGGTACTGTAAGATTAAACAACCTTTCTTTACAGTATTTCTTGTGTTTGTTTTTTATGCATTATTTGTGTGAAAAGTATTATAAACCTTACTTTGTTGGACTTACAAACAAATTGGACTTACGAACAAACTCCCAGAGTGGAACTCGTTCGCAAGTCCAGGACTTACTGTACTATTTCTATGTCTTCACAATGAAGTTAGCTGCTTTCTGTTGCCATAATCATTTTGTGGTTAACTGAAGTCCCAACTCTTGTTTCACCATATCTTTTACCACCTCAGTACCAGCTTGTTACACCCCCTTTCTTCTTAGGCCATTTTCAGCCCAGGTGCACACATGATCTAAATGCATTGACATGTAAAAACATCCAGCTAATCTAAAAATTGAGGCCTCCCCTTCTTTCCTTTTCTTGCTACTTACTAGTTCGACCGCCATTCTTTCAAATATTTCTTAATGTACACCATTAGCACTACTAGGTCTCATTCAAATTATACTAACATGCTGTATATTGTCTTTCTTGATTAAACTTGTCAGCCAAATGTTGCAGCCATTGTTCTTGTTAATTGCATTCTGACAATAAAATGTAATTAAAAAAACATCCAGCTGCCCAGACCAACTGTTTACTTACAATGGCCAGTTGGCATGTGGTTAAATTCATATATTAAGGAGGAACATCTGACTCTTGATATATGGACCCATCCCTCCTCTCCCTTCATCACTGAATATCTGGTGTGTGCGCAGAGACCTGTGACACATCTGCATCTGAAATCACACAGTGGTCTAGTAGTTTGAACTGTGTAATATAGAAAGTTACAACACAGTACAACTAGGCCTGGCGGGAGAGCACAGCTGCCCAGGGCCACTAATGGAATCTGTAGCGGTGGTTCTTTAGCTTTCAATTATGCCAACAGCTCCTGCAATGAGGAGTGGGAAGGCAGCCTGGCTGGTCCAACCCAACTGGGAGGCTTCTGACAGTGGAGGATAGCGATCCCTGCACTTTTCTTACTCCTCCGGGAACCACTCTATAACAGTACAAAAAAATGGCAGAATGCATTTAAAAGATAAAGTAATATGCTTGAATTATATTGGAGAGGGAAGAGAAGCCAGAAGGACCATATTGTTAATGACTGAAGGTCTGTTTTAAGCCATTTTATTTTGGTTTTGATAGAATTGTGAGGTGGGAGTTGGAGATACAACAGGAAGGAAGGGTAAATATCTCCAGTGTGAGGAGAAATCACCTCTTAGACATACGATGGATGAAAAGGATCAAGCATCCACATTTACAGCAATGCTTTGTGTCATAGGCTCATCAACATTTGTGCCATACCCAGCTACAAGGGATGTGTAGTGAACCATGCTGACAAGTTACATTATGATGGCTAGTCTTGATGGATCCATCTAAAGTTGGACATGGCCAGACTTCAGCTAGAGGTCAGCTAATGTTTACCTGGATTTTTACGTTATAGTTGACCTTTTTTTAAATGCATGCAGTGCAGTAGTTTTTGCAAGTAGTTTTGTCCTAAACAAATGAGGGAGGGACAAATTTAGGCACCACATCCCCTAAAATTTATTAGAAACTCAAAAAATAATAAATGGGACTTTTTTTTTTGGTGCCAACACAGATATAAGTATTACATAAAATCACTTTTATTACATACTTTGAATTTACAACTCAGACATTGTTAAAAGCATTGACAATTGAATAAACACATTGAGAGGGTACCTTGTAAGGGATAAAAATTGTCTCCAATCTAGTACTGGATATAATGGAACAGGCATGATAATCTGTATAAAAATACAAAAAATGGCCACTGCTCCAGTCTATCACTGGTCTTCACAGTAAGGAGCACATGGAAGGGCGACGCATGTCAAACAACAAACCAGAAAAATTCCCAGCTCTAACTTGCCAGCCAGCTGTCCAACAAACCAAATAAACCTGTTTAACAGTATGCGTTAAACAGGGGTTTAGTTAGCACACATTTGCAAACACATACGTAAGCTACAGAGCCTCGTCACGGCACCCCAGTATTCTGTAGTTCCTAACTCTACAAATTTTAAGAGCCCCCATAGTAGAGGCACATGTATTTAATGGATAGACCAAGGGCAGGTGAACTTAAGGGAGCCCACCCCTCCTTAAAGGTACAGGAATGCACTGGACACCCAGCATGTAGCACAATGGCAGCTAAGGTGTCCAGTGCTCTCTCTCAACCAGCAATTCAACAGTGAAAAAAATGGCCACTGCCCCAGTCTATAACTGGCCTTCAGAGCAAGGAGCACATGGAAGGGCAACGCATGTGATAATCTGTGTACCCTAGTGCTAGGGAGATTATACAATTGTACCCCAAAACAAATACATGCTATGCATTGTATCAAAGTTTTAACTATCATAATTCCTGTGCATAACCGATCATCATTGGTGGTTTCAACATATTTTTGCTCTTAAGCTTCATCAGGAGTCCACTAGAAATGAATGCAAACCACTCCAACCACCCACGTCGATAAACCAGAGAGCCCAAGGGTCCAACCCAGGGGAAATCCCCTCTGAATCTGGAAACCTCATGCATCCCAACCAAAGGGAAGCACAGAGTGGACTACAGGAGGAGATAATCAGGAGACGTGCAACTTCAACGTAGGGTGGTAAAACAAAGATCAACAGCGGTGCTCAAAGTTGTTTATCAAATCCCAAAACCCATGGAACTTTTTTAGCATTAGGTGGCTGTCCATGTATCATGTTTATTCAACTGTCATTGGTTTTAACCAGGGGCGAACTGACAACTCATGGGGCCCTTGGGCAATAGGGGATCATGGGGCCCCTGTGTCCTTGCCCAAACTCAAAAAAGCCTATGGAAAAGGTACCAGGGGCATCTCATGGGGCCCCCTACTGACCCCGGGCCCTTGGGCAGTGCACGAGTTTCCAAATGGTCAGTCCGCCCCTGGTTTTAACAATGTCTGAGCTGTAAATTCAACTGTAATAAAAGTGATTTTGTATAATACTTATCTCGGTGTAAATTTTGGCACCCAAAAAGGTAATACATTTATTATTGTTTTTTGAGTTTCTGAAGCAGTGTAGGTACCTGAATTTGACTCGATATTAGCCTCTTACAGTCCCTGTACAGCAGAACTAGACTGAGAGACTGAGAGGGCGAGAAATGGCACAAGGAGCCAATCAGATGTGCTGTAGTGCAAGGAGCATTCAGACAGGAGGAGAGAGCAGAGTGACAGAGAGATAAATGCATTTGTTTGTTGTTTCTTCTTTCACTGTCTATTCATAGGGTGATAGTATGGAGGAGACCTGTAAATGTTTCCTGGACTGCAAAGAAAAAAATCAGGTCTCATGCTTGTGCTGTGTGGCAGAGCTGTGTAAATCTCAGAACTAGATGGACAGATATGTAAATCCCTTGGCAGATAAAACAGCTCCTGATGTATTTGTTATTTTTGTATGTTTCTGTTTGTCTGGAGTTCTACCTTAAGCTTCAACATAAGGGGAGCTATAGGGAGTTGTAGAAAGAAACTCCTAGTAGAAAATCAACAGACATTTGAAGAACACAACCTTATGGTGGTCAGCTCGATGCAATGAAGCAGTTCATTGTAGTGTTTCATTTACAAGATGACTTTTTTTGTTTAACTTTGAAGACAGAGATGGTGTATTGTAAACAGAGTGCTAATGAGTTCCAGAAGCAAAAAGGGCTGGGGGGGGGGGGGGGGGGGGGGGGGGGGGGGGGCAGTGGAACGGAAAATTGGCGTGTGTGCAAGCGTACAGAGTACACAAAGATGCAAGGAGAAGTACATTGATTTGGAATAAATGAGACATAGAAAATTAAGTTTGAGGGGAAATGGTAATATAGGTTTACTTAAAGTAGACCCATCACAAGCCTTGCAAAATTCAAACTGAGCATAAGATGAAAGAAATGCAAAGCAAAGGTTACTTTAGGTGAAAGCCAAAATTCTAAATCAGGCAGCCCAAATGGAAATATCCATTTTCCCTTTACATGTCAAACTTGGTTCTATAACCTCCACTAAGCCTCCATATTGGTTAATTATTGTGATGGACACCTTCTTTGGCCAATAGAAAAACTCAGGAGACAAAAGCCAACCTTTCTATAATGGCTTGAATCTTCCTATTGGCCATGGATGGACTGACCTAATGTAACTTTTACAGACCATTCCCCTACTGGAGCCCTAACAGCTTAGCGGCATCTATGTATTCCACCCCCCCCCCCCCCACACACACAATGCATTTTCTGTTTAAATCAATGGAAACGCATCAAGTCCAAATAGAAGCTGCACTCACTGTACGTGACCTTGTAATGATGGATGCTCAAAGTGGATGCCAGGGATGGTGCCATGGCAGAACCAAATGCAAAAATGTGAAGTCACCAGCACATCAAAGCTCGTCTTAAAACAAGTGTTCACACATACTGCAGCCCTAGATGGCTTAGTGGCCAATTTGACCCCACTAATGATTAAAAAATAGAATTAACATTCTTAAAATTTAAAATTTCTAACAATATTCTACTAGAATGTGGCCCGAATTAGCATCCTACAGTGAAGTATACATATGACTTTGCCCAGTGCAGGCTTACATTTGGTGTCTTCTATAAGAGGACAAATACAAATGAAAGTTTTGCTTTATGATGGGTTTACTCACCAGAAGGTTGGATGGGTTTGTCTCCTCCAGTAAGGAGGAACGATATGTGAATACAGGGAGTGACCTACAGAAAATGTGTCTGTTTCCCTGACTACTTGCTCAGTTTTCCTGTCACAGCAAGTTTTGCTATTTTTGACCTCAGAGGTGTAATTAAAGTGTGAAAATACTGTGGAGCACTTTGACTCCAAACACCAGTAGGAATCCATAAGGCCACATTCAGATGTGAGTAGAAGAAAAAAAGAAAAGTTGTAAAGGTATTTTAGGAACACTGATTTTAAAGTCCAAAGCCAGGTTGAGAAGAAAATAAACACATGTTGTCTTCAACCATGTTAAAGCTGAACTCCAGGTACAAAACCTTTTTTTATAGAGTTTAATTGATTTATTTTTGAAAAATACAGGTATAAAAACGGTGCACTCGATATAAACATTGCACATAGTGCAAGTTAGCAAGCATGGCAAAAAAACATGCAGAATGAGAACCGTTTTATATTTTCAGAAAGAAGTAAAGTGTAACTGCTTTCAGCTGATTGATCTCATAAGCAGGATGATTCTGGAAGTGGGTGGGGGATAAAAGGGGTGGTAGAATTCTGGTGCAATCCTATTGCATGTTGTTTCAAAAGATCACCCGAAGGGTAGTTTGGTTACATAGTTAGGCTGAAAAAAGACAAAAGTCCATCCAGTTCAACCATTAAAAAAAAAAAACGTTATAATCCTATACCCACAGTTGATCCAGAGGAAGGCAAAAAAACCCAGCAAGGCATAATCCGATTTGCTCCTGCAGATGCAGCTATCTAAAGTAGAGGGGCTGCAAAACCAGTCCTAGGGATGAAGTGGTTAGGGTCAAAAGAAAGGGGAGTAGTTAGGAAAGAGTCATTAAGGGGTAGGGAGGAGATTTACCTATTTAGGCGATGGAGATAATAAGACCCGGGGTTCGATAGCAGAAAAAAGAAAGTATGAATAGGAAGCCCAGGCTGGGTGCATCCACCTCACTCATGCCTTAATTTGTTAAAGGAAGAACAACAAGTGATCAAGGTTAAGATTGTGATTATGTTCCAACCAATGGGACCATATTTTCAGGCATCTTGGGTGGGTATATTTTACAATTGATGTTTTTGTGAACCATGGTACCTATGAACAGCTGACTCATCTACATAAAGTTCAGGGATGGCTTTCTCCAAGCTTTTTCAATAGTCTAGACTTATAGACTTAGAATAGTTAAGACAATAGACTTAGTGATGTCTGGGATAGGCCTATGGAGTAGCACCTCCCATGAGTTACAAGTTCGATTTTTGTTGAAGATGGTACAGATAAGGTTATATACCTGTATCCATAGTTTTTTGGCTTTAGGGCATTGCCACCAGACATGGTGCATTGTGTCTAAGGCCCATTATAGTAGAAAGCACAAAGGGGAGACTGAAGGCGTAAACTTGGCTACGCGTTCCAGGGTCCTATACCACCCTAATAGCACTTTTTGAGCATTTTTTTTTGGGGGGGGGGGCTAGAATATTGATGGGGCATTGAGCCAAACAATTTTTTTTTCCATGCTGAGATTTCTAATGATTCCCGCAGATCCTGGCACAAAACTTTTCTTTTACAAAGAATTTTATTATAGAATAAGAAACAGCAGAAAATCAGTCAAGAACATATCCAATGACCAGCAAAAATATAGCCTACAAAAGAGGCACAAAACCTTTCATTTGAATATATTTCTCAGTGAAATGTAGGGGAAACTTTTTTTTTATATGTACCAAATGCCTTTGCAAACCCTTTTATTACCCTCTCAGCTGCCTGCAGAGAACTACGGGGCAGCAGTGACTACACTTTATTACAGGAAGCTCCAGCTTAGAGGCAATATTTCACACTGGATTATTTCAGGCATCTGGAGGACTGGTCTTTTATTGATACCCAATGTCATTCAACCCACTTCCTGTGAGCCCAAGGTGTCAAGGCTCCACCCCTCTGCTACTATGGACTCACAGGAGAATACTGCAGAGAGCTGTGCCATTTCAATTAATAGTGCCACCTTTCTTCGGCATTTAGGATTTGCCCACTGCTGGAGGAAGAAGAGGATAAAGAGAGCCTGTGACATCACAGAACTACAAGATGCACAAAGGGGGTACAGAGCAAGAAGTTGGAGGAGGAACTGAGCCTATAGCCTGGCCAAAACACGTTGACTGTAATTTACTAAGGTTAGGTGCACTCTAGCCAATGCTGAGAAAAATGCCCCATGGTGGATCGCTTTTGAGGGCGGGACTAAGCGGCCGCTGTTATGTGTTCAGGAGGCAATCCTACCGCTTCCTGAATGCCTACGTTTTTGCTGAACAACAGTATATAATGTGACTAATGTACCACAACTGTGAACCAAGTATTTGACTAGGGGTTGCAGTGTGGCCCCATTGACTTGAATGGCGGTGCTGCTTGACAGCTCAGCATGCCACAGTAAATTTGATGTGGCCGCTATGCAAAGTATGGCAGCCCAAGCATGTGAAGAGCCTCCTCCAGCTGTATCTTAAACTTTAGTTGGGCAGCTGAGATGCGGTTAAACTGCAGGCAGCAGCCTGTTTTTACCACACCACACACAACATTTTCTGCACTTAGTGCACATCCTCTGCCTTTTCTTCATCCAATCAGGCACAGGAAACTTTTGGTGTCACTGTGCTCTGGGGGCAATGCTGGATGGTTAAGTATGGGAGCTATAAAAATTCGTAGTGTGTAGGATGTGTCTTTAAATATGGAGTTTGAATAATGACCCCAGGTCATCACCGTTTGGGTAAATCTTTAACTTCTGTTTATTTAAAATGGATTTTCATTCCCATCAGTTTTTGCTGAGTCACTATTTTCATAGCAAGTCTGGTTTTAATTTGCGATAATAACAGGTGTCAAAGGCAGTAGATGTAATTTAGGTTAGGTTCACACTAGGCCATGCTCTGAATAGTGATCTGTAATGGATCACTTTTCAGAATACAGCTAAGAAGTCACTATCAGGCATTCAGGAGGTGATCCTGCTGCTTTCTGAATGCTTGTCACAATGGCACAACTGCAAGCCAAGTGTTTGGGACAGTGGCCTCATTGACTTGAATAGCCAAGTTTGACAGGTGGTGCTAGCGGTCAACTTGTATTCCTGCAGCCAGGTAGCCACAGGTGCCACATACAGCGCATTAAGCTAGTGAGTAGCTGCCATGGCAATGGCAGCCATTCACTTGTACATCCTTCCATATAAGCGAATGGCTGTACACGGTCGTACTGTTGTAAATGCCGATGTGTACTGTTGTAAATGCCGATGTGTGTACTGTTGTAAATGCCGATGTGTACTGTTGTAAATGCCGATG